CACAACATCTGTCACATCTGTCACAACATCTGTCACATCTGTCACAACATCTGTCACATCTGTCACAACATCTGTCACATCTGTCACATCTGTCACATCTGTCACAACATCTGTCGCATCTGTCACATCTGTCACATCTGTCACAGCATCTGTCACATCTGTCACATCTGTCACAACATCTGTCACAACATCTGTCACATCTGTCACATCCATCACAACCACATCTGTCACATCCATCACAACCACATCTGTCACAACATCTGTCACATCTGTCACAACATCTGTCACATCCGTCACATCTGTCACAACATCTGTCACATCTGTCACAACATCTGTCACATCCATCACAACCACAACATCTATCACATCTGTCACAACCACATCTATCACATCTGTCACAACCACATCTGTCACATCTGTCACAACCACATCTGTCACATCTATCACAACCACATCTGTCACATCTATCACAACCACATCTGTCACATCTGTCACAACCACATCTGTCACATCTGTCACATCTGTCACAACATCTATTGCATCTGTCACAACATCTATTGCATCTGTCACATCTGTCACATCTGTCACAACATCTGTCACATCTGTCACATCTGTCACAACATCTGTCACAACATCTGTCACATCTGTCACAACATCTGTCACAACATCTGTCACATCTGTCACATCCATCACAACCACATCTGTCACAACATCTGTCACAACATCTGTCACATCTGTCACATCCATCACAACCACATCTGTCACAACATCTGTCACATCTGTCACATCTGTCACATCCGTCACATCTGTCACATCCGTCACATCTGTCACAACATCTGTCACATCTGTCACAACATCTGTCACATCTGTCACATCCATCACAACCACAACATCTATCACATCTGTCACAACCACATCTGTCACATCTGTCACAACCACATCTGTCACATCTGTCACAACCACATCTGTCACAACCACATCTGTCACATCTGTCACATCTGTCACAACCACATCTGTCACATCTGTCACATCTGTCACAACCACATCTGTCACATCTGTCACATCTATCACAACCACATCTGTCACATCTATCACAACCACATCTGTCACGTCTGTCACATCTATCACAACCACATCTGTCACGTCTGTCACATCTATCACAACCACATCTGTCACATCTGTCACATCTATCACAACCACATCTATCACAACCACATCTGTCACATCTGTCGCATCTGTCACAACATCTGTCGCATCTGTCACATCTGTCACAACATCTGTCGCATCTGTCACATCTGTCACAACATGTCACAACATGTCACAACATCTGTCACAACATCTGTCACATCCATCACAACCACATCTGTCACATCCATCACAACCACATCTGTCACAACATCTGTCACATCTGTCACATCTGTCACATCCGTCACATCTGTCACAACATCTGTCACATCTGTCACAACATCTGTCACATCCATCACAACCACATCTATCACATCTGTCACAACCACATCTATCACATCTGTCACAACCACATCTGTCACATCTGTCACAACCACATCTGTCACATCTGTCACAACCACATCTGTCACATCTATCACAACCACATCTGTCACATCTATCACAACCACATCTGTCACATCTGTCACAACATCTATTGCATCTGTCACAACATCTGTCACAACATCTGTCACAACATCTGTCACAACTGTCACATCTGTCACAACCACATCTGTCACATCTGTCACATCTATCACAACCACATCTGTCACATCTATCACAACCACATCTGTCACAACCACATCTGTCACATCTGTCACAACCACATCTGTCACATCGGTCACATCTGTCATAACCACATCTGTCACATCGGTCACATCTGTCATATCGGTCACATCGGTCACAACCACATCGGTCACATCGGTCACATCTGTCATATCGGTCACATCGGTCACAACCACATCGGTCACATCGGTCACAACCACATCGGTCACAACCACATCGGTCACATCGGTCACAACCACATCGGTCACATCGGTCACAACCATAACGGTCACATCGGTCACATCTGTCACATCTATCACAACCATAACATCGGTCACATCGGTCACATCTATCACAACCACATCGGTCACATCTATCACAACCACATCGGTCACATCTATCACAACCACATCGGTCACATCTATCACAACCACATCGGTCACATCTATCACAACCACATCGGTCACATCTGTCACAACCACATCGGTCACATCTGTCACAACCACATCTGTCACATCTGTCACAACATCGATCACATCTATCATATCTATCACAACCACAACATCTGCCGCAACCGCATCTGCCGCAACCGCATCTGCCGCAACCGCATCGGCCGCAACCGCATCGGCCGCAACCGCATCGGCCGCAACCGCATCGGCCGCAACCGCATCGGCCGCAACCGCATCGGCCGCAGCATCGGCCGCAACCGCATCTGCCGCAGCATCGGCCGCAACCGCATCTGCCGCAGCATCGGCCGCAACCGCATCTGCCGCAGCATCGGTCACATCTGTCACATCTATCACAACCATAACACAAAAGAGTGTGGGAAAAATGATTTGTTTCTCCAGACTCGTCTATTTCCTATTCCTAATATTAAAATGTTCAAAAAAATGAAACGGTCTGCTGCTTATGGGCTGTGGCTCAGTGGGGAGAGCAGGTTGTCCTCTAACCACCAGGCTGATGGTTTCCACCGGTCCTTCAGCGAGACACTGAAACCTCAGAGGTTACATTTCTAGGGCCGTAGTCAACCAAAGAAAACCTTGGACGACTGACATTCTACCTAACCAATCGATTACTCGAGATGCATTAAATTGTCCCTGTGCACTGTGCCTGGTAGCCTAAATGAATTCAAAATAAACATAAAAAGCTATTTTTGGCAAATTGGAATATGGCATTTTTGCTATGTTCACGCTCACACACTCGATGCCTATGAATTAGTGATGCACTACTAGGATTTAGTGAGACTGTTGTAGGCGGACCTCCGGGGGCATACTCCCCGGGAGACAATGTGTACATTTTAGAGTTAAATGCATCAGTCTGGTGCATTTTGAGAGCAAAACTAAAAAGATCCATGAAGAACTTTGTGCTCTTGTTCTCCCAGTGGTTGAATGTAATTAAGTACATTTAGGCTACTCAACTACTGTACATTTATTTGACAATATAAGTTACTATTTCGGCTACTTTGAAAATTCAGATACTTAATCCAAAATATGAATTCACAGATACACTGTGAAGTATTATTAAGTAGTATATGTTTATAAAGTAGATCGGGTAGCGAGTGACAGGTGGTGTTGTTCCTGTGTAGCGTGAATGAGCTGATAAACGACGTGGGAACGTGAGATCCATCATGTTGACAACCAGAGAAGCTTACAGCTCATGTTTGTGTGTCCCTCAGCTTTAGCGGACATCACCTGCACCCTGTTGCTGCTGAACCCGGACTTCACCACCGCATGGAACGTCAGGTACAGACGCACCCAGTCACAGCTGCAGAAACATTGTGTCATGGACGTCAGCCGTTTGTGGTCTTGAACCGCTTCTGTGGAAATGCAACATGATCACAGCTCAACGTGTGGCTAAAGCGCGCGTGGGTCTAACGTGATAAGAGAACCCGGTATTAGTTTACAGGATTACAGCAGCATAGTGCGAACAAGTGACTTAGTAAAAAACAATGTAGCAAAAAGTATCATAAATAAGTAATGCGCAGTAAATGGATATTAACTAAGGAAAAGTAAAAATCCACAATAACTAAAATATAACTAACTAAAACAATATGATGTATACAGACAGAATAAGTGTTGTATTGAATATGATGTATACAGACAGAATAATTGTATTGTGTGGCTGATTGTCGTTGCAGGAAGGAGCTGCTGCAGTGCGGAGCTCTCAACCCAGAGAAGGACCTCTACCTGGGCAAGCTGGCCCTCACCAAATTCCCCAAGAGCCCGGAGACGTGGATACACCGGTAAGACTTCTCTAAACTCTGTCATATTCTACTTCCACAGGCTACGTGCAGGCTACATGGAACACGTAACGCATGGGCCGGGAGCACGTTGGTGCTAGATATGCACCACAGAGATATGCATTAGCTTTTTCTATGTGAGGTGTGCCTGTTCCTTTTACACAACAATGGGTCATTAATGGTCCGTTCTCTTTTTTTATACCATTATAAAGGAAATGACACGGCAGTTTGGTTTTGAGTTTCTAATTCATTATTTCCTGTCGTCTGTGTCCTTTGATGTTAGCTGACAAGAGAGATTGAAATAGCAGACTGAATGATGGGGAAACTATAACAGTCTAAAAAAAGAAAAGGTGCGCTATCACAACAGGGGGCCCTGCTGAAAAGATTTTGGTTCCACTGCACGCCACCCAACTACACTCCTGGTGCCAGGATAGGTGAAAGGCTCGCAGGCGCTTCTCCTCATAAACTTTGTCTTCACCAGCCACCGTTTTCTCACGAGTGCACGATCGGTACCTTGCAAGATAGAAGGGAGCTGGCTCACTCCTTGGCTACTTCCATCATCTCTCGGAACTAAAGACGGTGTCCCGGGCAAGGCTGACCGCTTTACAATGTAACTGTAAACGGAGGAAACGATCGGCAAATTGAGGGGAGTGCATGAAGCGCCATTTTCTCCGTTGAAGCGAGCGCTTGCAGGATCGGGGAATCCCACGTTGTGAAAGTCTGGTGAGTCCGGTCTCCAGGTTCAGCCTTCAGAACTAAATTAAGACGGCCACGAGGGGTCGTCTGTCCGAGGGAGATACAGAAGGCAAAGGATCATCTATCTGCTTTGTGTGTGTTGACATGAAAAGTGACGGCACGATCGGTGTCGCGTCTCTGTTCATATTTGTTTCCTGATAAATATACAATCTATAATCTTGTTTCGGTATATTTGTTATACAAAAAACACAAAAGTGACGGGCAACTACTAGGTTAGTGTTTGACCAATCAGCAACATGCAGGCCTGACACAGACATGTAGACCTATGTGGGGTGTTGTGGTGGTTTAGTGTGAGAAATGTTGAACATCTTGGTGAAGTATTCTGCGGGGGGGAATTTAAATAAAAGCCGGCTGCTCCTGTGACAGTCGCTGTCCCCTCCTAACGTGTTCTCTGTATCATGTTCCACATTCAAGCTTTACTCTTATAACTGCCATCTGGTGTTATGAATAAAAATATGTCTTCTGACTGGTGCAAGCAAGTGTGACTCTACAGCCCCAGGAGTGCGATTGTCTTTGTAAAGCCGTTGTCTCCCCGCAGACGCTGGGTGCTGCAGCAGATCCTGCGTCAGTTCTCCGCCGTGGGCCGCAGCCGGAAGCTTCCGCAGGGCGACACGGAGCAGGCCGACGCGGACCGGAGCCAGCGGCTCAGTGACCAGCTGGCCAGGACGCTCCATCAAGAGATGAAGGTGTGCTCCGACGCCGCCTGCCGCTATCCCAGCAACTACAACGCCTGGTCCCACCGCATCTGGGTGCTGCAGCACATGGCCAAGGGCAACGTCAAGGTAGGACGAGGAAGAGGTGATGCCGGAAATTACTATAACAAAGTAAAACATCTTATGTTAACATTTAACATCTTTGATAGATTCTTTGGACGGTAAAAAAAAAAGCTGCAATAATCAAACAACAAAGGGATCTGTATCTGCCAATATGGATCATCAATGATCAATGATTAGTATCGGCAGCAAAACAACACGATCGGGGAATCTCTAAAAGTTGTATTTGCTCCCTTCCGTGAGTCTGATCCATTATTAGGATCTGAACCGTGAGTTCTTTAGCATCTGTTGCACCACTGTTTCACACAACCTGCTGTAACTTTGAGCTTTTATACTTCAATCTGGAAGTGCTAAGTTGACGAGGAGCATTCACTTCAAATCAATGACTAATAAGCTTTTAACTTTTACAGCTTGTATGACGTCTTCACCCTCTGCCAATGTCAACAATGTACGATAGCGTATCGGAGCCATTGTAGGAAGAAACACTATAACCGTGGGGTGATATTCAGAGGAAACCTCATGAATTTACTAGAAATAACTTTGATATTCTCTGAGATAAAGTCGTAAATTTGCTAGAAGAATTGTGTTTCAATTGTAGTACACCCATACATAATAACTAATGCATTCAAATGGCCCAGACTGTGCTGAGTGAAAGAGCGAGGTTAGCGGAAGGATTCACGGATGATGTCCGTTTTGTCGATATCAGGTGTTAACAAAGGGAAAATATATAAAATACATAATCTCTGAAAATAAGATGAATTTGATTATATTCACAAGAGGTATGAAACATGTTGCCTACGTGCTTAATACGTTAAGTAGAAAATACTGCTAATTGTGAGGAAAATGTCTTTGGTCTTTCATGTTTTGAGTGCTGGAAAACAAATGAGTCGAGTCTGTGGTTTCATACAGACAATAAGAAATGAATCAATATCAAAGAGATATCCATTGTCTTGTTATTGCAGTGCCTTGGGAGTATTATTTTTTTCTTGTCAATGTATGACTCTATAATTTAAGAGAGTATTCCTTTCTTTCACTTTAATCTTAAAATGTTTCATCTTTGTAAAATGATTTGTTTCTTGTTTTATTACCTCTGATTTATTTTATTTTGTATTTCTTTAAACCTACAATCGGCCTGATACCAAGCTTGAATTGTTGAGTAAAAGTCAGAATGCAGTCCGGCAATCTGCCAACATATGTTGTGCATCAATTACTCAACACGCTGTATTATATGGGCCATCTTAATTAATTAAGATGGCCTCATGACTAAATTAACACAACAAGCAGCTAAATGTGTGTTGGGTTTCCTTCATGTTAGTGCTTCACACGCTGCCATGTTTCCTCTCAGGTGTTCCACGATGAGCTGTCCTCTATGTGCCTCTGGGTGTCCATGCACGTGTCTGACCACAGCGGCTTCCACTACCGCCAGTTCCTCCTCAAGGAGCTGATCACTGAGCTCTCCCAGACTCCAGCTTCCACCACCAGTTCGCCCCAGCACCGGTGCAGTGCAGTCCCCAGCAGCAGCCCCCCGCACCACGGCCACGACCGGGCCAACGGGGAGCTGTCGGGAGCGGAGGCAGCGGGCGAGGAGGAGAGGCAGCTCGGCTCCACCGCGGTCCTTCAGCTCTTCCACCAGGAGGTGGAGCTGTGCTCTGACCTGATCCGGTCCTTCCCAGGTCACGAGACGCTCTGGAGTCACAGGTGAGGCCGTAGAGGTGAATGTAACAAAAGACTGTTCAAATATGTCGCGCTGCAACAGAAGCGCGGTGAAGCGTGAGTGTTTATGAGCATTGTTGTGTCAGTTAATGTTCAACCGGTAGGCATTAAAAAGGATCTCCTGCGTCAGAGAGCTCTTCTTTGTTGGTGTTTTAAGCAGTGGTGGAATGTAACTAAGTAGATTTACTCTTTAAGTAAAATCTTTAGCTGCTTCTTCCATTGTATGCTACTTTACTCCACTAGATTGTCTGGCAACTACAGTCACTTGTTCAAATAAGATTTTTCATACAAAATACATGATACATTTTTTTTCAAATGTGATACTTTGTAGATTAAAAATCAATTTCCCTATAATTTATTCCTAAAAATTGATGAAAAAAAAAAAATTAGATCTTTCTGTCCAGTGAACTGCATTATGCAACAACACAGATGTTCCACTCAGCGGTCACTCATCAGTGGTCATGTGGTCGTCTGTTAGACGTTGAGGTCATTGAGTAGATTCACATCATGTGGGGCGAGTGACTCACTGGTTTTATTTTGGCAGAGGCTTTTTTTCTACATAATTTAAATGCGCTAGATGAGCCTCTTAAAATAACCTCGTTTATTACATTTAACCACCATTGTGGCGTGTCGTGATAAACCTCACAGAGAGCGTGTCACAAGTCATAAATGAGTTGTAATGATTCCTCATTAAAAATAGTTATGATCAGTCAGGAACAGGCATGGTTTTAAATGTGAATAGCTATTTACAGACTGAAATGCACAAGAAGCTTTATTCTCCTCTACGGTCAGGTAGGCAAACTCCTTGAAATACGCAGTAGTTCATACCAGTGTATACTGTATGAAGGAGTGGTGGCATTAGAAAGTGGCAGAGGAACCAAAGTTGGGCTTTTAAGGCCAGACTTGATTTCTAGAGTCAAGGAAGGATCCTTCAACGGCTGCCTTTCAAGGATGCTAGGTCATCAAATCCCTGCTCCTGTGTATCCTTAGCGCTCCCAGTACTACCACAATCTTATGCGCACGATGCATTTCCTGTCGCCTGATTCAGAAACAAGGACATTTGCTAGTAAACTGCCACTTTAATCTCAGAGAATATCCCAAGTTTTTCCTTGTAAAAATTCCCACTTTAATCTTTTTTCTTCATATATTACCGATAGCAGGCAGCACATTCTCACATCCAGGGTTTAAGTGGATCCAAACCAGAGAACATTCCAATAACTAGCTGTGCGATGTGTCTTTCCACCCTTTCCAGGCGGCACGTCTACTACTTGTGGCACCACTGGAGGAGGGAACACCAGCACCACTGTGGCAGCAACGGAGGCAGCGAGCCGGACTGCCTCAACAACGGCGACCCGGGCCCGCCAAAGGCCTGTGCCCAAAGCCCGGGGGGAGAGGGTGTGAACGGACAGAGGCACGCAGGCGAAGCCATGGAGGTGGACGGGGTATCCCTGCCGGACCCGCGTGACAGCAAGCGGCTGAAGCGGGGCGTCCAGCCGCCCAGCGCCCCCGCCCTGCCCTCCGAGCACGGCTTTGTGAGCGGCATCCTGGACGGCTGCTGTCACCCCGAGCAGAGACGTTTCGCCCTGGCGTACAAGAAGTGGTTGGACACTGTCATCGGTCAGCAGCCTTGAGAGGGAGGGAGAACAGTTAGCCCCCTCAGTCTTTGTCAACGTTGGAAGTTGCCTTTAGACACAGATGTAGGATCAGCTTACCTAGCGCTGACTTTAACTCAAAGTGCTGACTTTAGAAGCTAGTCTCTGGGGCAGCGGGGCTGTGAGCAGAGAGGATGGGGTCCTTAAGAGTCTGACCTTTGAAACATCTGGATTCTCTGGAGCTTCATCTGAGCCGGTACCCCCTTCAGAATGGAAATCTGCACAAATGGAGCCGATAGGCCTGCTCTGTGTCTGTCAGTAGATTCTCTTCTTATTCCAGGTGTCTCGATGCCTCAGGTCAACTTAACACTGAATTTATTATTTTAATCTGTTTTTTTTGTTTTTTTTACATCTATAAGTATTACTTAATCTTTGTTCATATAAGTCAGCATAGAAAGAAAATGAAGCTGCCACAGGAGGAGGGACTTTGCAAAGGTGAGAGCAGAGCAGAATTTACACTGAACGCTAAAAAGCAATGAAATACAAACACATTTAAAAAAGGGCGTTTTTAGCTTCACTCCAGCTTCACATTCATAACTATTTAGACGAACGCGTTAAAATCCACTCGCTTGTTGCAGTGGCAGGTTTTAAGCACAGCCAGACTCCTGGTTTGTTTTTTTTCCTCTGAAGTTCTTTAAATGTTCCATTCTGAAGGCGGTAACATTTGTTCCTGGTCCTTGGTCGCTGCTCCTGGGTCAGGTCTTCACTAGTTAACGCTGTCAGTAAGTCCCAACTATGTAGCTAAGTTACAGTAGCTTGCAACAGAAAGCCAAACAGCTAGTCGTCAGCTAAATAACAGGTTATGTCTGCTACGTGGAAAGTCTTGGCTGACTTGTCTTACCTTCTGCTAAACCCGACGCACTAAATCTACAGCAGCGGTACTGATGCTCCACTTCGAAGGACAGAGTCTCCCCGACATTCACTGGTGCTACATGCTGCCGTTTCTACTTCACCCGTCACAGAAAACTGAGCAGCACTTTGGACTATTTGATGATTATAGGCAATCATTGTTCTGTGGGGTAAACTACTTTTTTTGAAATGACGTCTGTTACTTTGCGCCGGGCTAGTTAGCAATAGTCCTAGCTACTTTTATGTCACTACGTTGTACAAAAATAGAGGTAAACATCTAAAAGGTCAACATCTACGTTGTCTTTTTTGTTTTGTTGAGGAATAATTTATAGCACTTAAAAGTTGTGACACGCTGTATCTGCACAGTCCATCCCTTCAAACGAGAGGCGAAGTCCCTCCCCTTCCGAGTCCCCGCCTTATTTCGGAAAAAATATGTACTATAGTCAACGGCGGATGTTTGTGAATTGAAAAGATAATTTAGCATGTCCAGAAAGTCCCTGTTTGTCATCGTACCATTTAGCTTTGTGTGAAAGCGCTTGTCTCGCCAACAGTTAGCTAGCTAACTTAGCTACGTTACATGCATATGTAACTGTATGCAAATGTAACGTTATCTTACCTGATGTGTTCCGTCCAGCGACTTTTTGTCCGCCGGGAATGGAAAGAACGAGCGAGTCTCGTTGGTGCGAGTACATCCTGGTACCAAACACACCACTTCAGAGAGAGAGACGGCACTCTCAGCCAATGCCCGTGTAGTGTCTCTAATAACGTTTTTTAAGTCTTAAACATCAACAGTCTTTACGACAAACTGAAGTCTTTTGACGTCAAATCATCTTTTTAATTGTCAAACATCATATGTGTATTAATGGCACAATTCTAACAACATATTATTTATCTCTTGCCGTTGACTACCCACATTTGTTTTCTTCAAAATAAGATCCCATGGTTTTCCACCAGAAGGGGCGGGTCTTTGCCTTCGCCTCTCTATAATGTAGAAGGTGAAAATGAAAGCTCAGTGGGCGGTGGGCCCTTGATGCAGTCTGGGCGCCATCACATCTGTATATAGAGGTACGATCGGATCGCCAGCATTGGCTCATTCTTAAAGACGTGAAGGTGGATTCGAGGGGAACAACAAAAATGGTTTTAGTGGCCACTGTGCACAGGCTTGCTAGCCAGAATGACCCCATCACATGTCTCCATGTGCTTCCATGTAACCCTTACCACGTTGTACTCGGCTTCTTTTAGGAACTACAATGTTAAGAGTTGTAAAGTAAGGCGCTTTATCACCTCAAAATCACTGTGTACATGATCATAGATAATCTTCAAACTAGTATTTTTGAGCCATGTATTCTTTAGGTTTGTTCGAGAACGGGTGCATATCAGAACTGTATGGGGGGGTTTAACGGTGCAGACCTAGAACACAAACTTTGAATACAAGACTATCTATGCAGAAAAGTGTTTTTTTTTTTTTTTTTTGTTTGTTTTTAAAGGTTCAACAAGCTTTTAAAAAGAATAATGTAGCTTCTGTTTTTGTTTTTTCTAATTTATTCTTCAGTGTACTTCAGTGGAGGGTACGTCCTTCATGAATAATCCCCATAGCATCTCAGTCATTCTCTATTTATTTATAGAGGTAAAGTCTTTCATCTTTACTTTCACTGTTTTGTCTTGTCTGCTTACCTAGGAATAAGGGTATTTAGAGGTGTGTGTGTGTGTGTGGGGGGGGGGGTTTGTGTGTCACGGTCACTTAATAAACTACTGTGCTGGGGAATATGTTGACACACACACACACACATGGCTGAAAAATAAATGAAATGCCTTGTATCATGGTGTAAAAAAACAAATGTAAAATGTAGACAAGTAAATTACACAAGTAAAGTCTCTTGGGGCTGTAAATTATTCTATACATTTTCATATAAATAAATAAGAAGTTAATTTAAACTTGCAGAAAAGTACTTCCCACGCTTTACTGTTTAGTACTGTTTGTATTGTGGGACTGGAGGGCTGGAGGCAATATGACGGCTAATCACTGTCAAAATCCGAGAGCGCAAATGAGATCCGCGTGTGTAGAGGTCCCGCGCGCGCAAATTAAACAGCCGCGCGCGTATTTTACTTTGGCGGGAGCTTTCACATCTGCGAGGAGAAAACCATGCTTTGAGCGCGAGGGGCGTCCCGTAGCGCGCGACTACTATCACTGCTCTTCTGCTCGCGAAGTTTTCACCTGCTCGCTCGCTCGCGAGTAGATTTTCTTTTTGACATTAAGTGGGCGGACCCAGTCACCATTGTCTATCTAAATTTAATTTGTGACAATCGTTTTTAGATTGGCCGGATATCACTCTGACATCACTCTGACACAGACGCTAGGTCTGTTAGAACTAAACACTGTTCAGACTGGAGAGGCTGATGAAATACTAAGTGTGTTACTAATGTTTTAAAATACAATAATTGTTGGAACTAGAAAATGCATTTCCTGCTGAAAATGCGTTGGAATGCTGAAAACTGAAATTGATTGCAAAAACATTGCTGAAAATAGATATCATATTCAAAAACAATTGCAAAAACCTTAATAATTCAGAAAGTTTAAAGATTACAAATATGAAAATCACACCTCCTGAAAGAGCTGAACATTTTGATATTCGAACGGTTTCTGTAGCTTAAAAAGTTTCAGCGGTAGTGATATTTGTTGTAGTACTAGAAGTATTAGTAATTAGAAGTAGAAGTAGTAGTATCGGTAGTCGTAGTAATAGCTGTAGTAGTGGTCGTAGTATTTAATATAACAGTAGTAGAAAAGAAGTGGTAGTAGTAGTAATAGTAAAGTCAGTTTTTGAAGTAGCAGTAATAGCAGGAGTAGAAGTACTAGTAGCAGTCTTACTAATAGCTGTACTAGTATTAGTACTGGTAGTAGCAGGAATAGCAGCAGCAGTAGTAGTAGCAGTTGTAGTATAAGTAATAGTAGTAGTGGTAGTAATAATATTGATGGTAGTAATAGCGGTAGTAGTAGTAATAGTAGCAACAGCAAAAGTTGCAGTAGAAGTAGTAGTAATACTAGAAATATTAGCAGCAGTAGTAGTAGTTGTCGCAGTATTAGTAAGAGCATTCATTGTTTCAACAAAAGTCTCATTTTGAGCTTAATGTTTAAATAGTTAATCCATGAGGCTTTTATTTTGAAAGGGTGGGACTTGGTGGGGGGGAGAGGAGACACTTCATATTTCTAACCTTTAAACTTTTTGAATTAAGCTTTTTGCAATTTTTTTTGTATGGGATGTCTATGGAAAACATTTTCAAATCCTCTTAAACTTTTTCAACTTTCAAATCCTTCTACTTCCTCATACCTTCAGCTACAGACAAAACCCGGATCTATTGCTGCATAATTCAGCTTTTTGATATCTTTTACACTTTCTGAACTGCAGCAATTTAACTTTTATGATTTTTTCAGTCCTTTTCTGACTTTATAATGGGTGTGTATTGCGCAGCTTAGAGTGCGTGATGTCACCGCTAGAGTGAAGAGCAGCTTGAGATTCTTGTGAAAAAAACATTTGTGTTTTACCACTGTGTCCACAATCTTCACTCTTCATGCATAATTTCTGGACGTAGAAGTAGCTAATCTTGTCCTTGTCGTAGACAGATGACTGTGGAATCCCACAGATTTACACATTTGACACAGAAGCCTGTAATTGAGAGGAAAACAAACTTTCTGCTCCATAGAGACCAATGTTAAATTTTGCTTCAAAAACATCTACCACGGAACACGGTACCCCATTTCTAGATCGCCAGTTCAGCCACATTTTTGACACTACAGACACAATTTTTACAGGATCTGTTCTTCAACTCATCCTTCCTCTCATTTATTAATATCGGAGCAATAGGAGCTACGGTTATGGGAGTTTTGAGGATTTGTTTGAGAGGTGTTTCCCTGTTTAATCTCCATGAAAAGGCTGAAAGGACACAGGTGTTTCTGATTAAGCTAATTAGTTATGTTGATAAACACGCATGCATCTCTCTCTTCTTTTTTTTTATTATTTATTTATTTATTTTTTTTATACAGGACTCCCCCCACCTCATTTTAAAATAAAAGCCCCACAGAGTGAATTCTAACTGGAATGCTTGTGATGAAGCCTGTCATTTAATAACCCCTGTTTGTGTTTCATACTTTCTGATTCTGTCTCCTCCTCCTCTCTCCCCCACCCAGCCCCACCCTTTCAAAATAAAAGCCCCATGGATTAACTATTTAAACTTTAAGCTCAAAATTAGGCTTTTTTGTTGAAATAATGAATGCTCTTACTAATACTGCGACAATTACTACTACTGCTAATATTTCTAGTATTACTACTACTGATGCTCCTACTACAACGTTTGCTGTTGCTAATATTACTACTGCTACCATCAATATTATTACTACCACTACTGCTATTACTACCACTACTACTATTACTTGTACTACAACTGCTATTCATGCTACTACCAGTACTAATATTACTACAGCTATTAGTACGACTGCTACTAGTACTACTACTACTGCTTCAAAAACTGACTTTACTACTAGTGTTATATTAAATACTACGACCACTACTACTAGCTATTACTACGACTACTGATACTACTACTTCTAATTACTAATACTTCCACTAATACTAATACTTCTACTGCAACTACAAATATCACTACTGCTACTACTACTACTACTTATTCTCATGCTACTAATACTTCTACTACTAATAATAATAATAATAATACTTCTACAACTTCTAGTACTACTACTACAAATATCACTACTGCTGACATTTTTTAAGCCACAGAAACCGTTCGAATATCAAAATGTTCAGCTCTTTCAGGAGAGGGTGATATGACTTCATATTTGTAATCTTTAAATTCTTTGAAATATTAAGCTTTTTGCAATTTTTTTTTTTTTAAATGGGATTTCTATGGAGAAAATCTTCAAATCCTGTTTCTTCTGTTACTACTTCAACTTTCAAAGCCTTCTTCTCATACTTTCAGCTACAGACACCATAGTGAGACATTTCAACTAGAAGGGTTTTCAGCAGTGCAGTTTAAATGCTTTCAGGCTTCAACATTTTTCAGACGGGTAGTCTCACATTTCTGTATTTTCAGCAATTTTTTTACAATTAATTTCAGCATTCCAATGCATTTTCAGCAGGAAATGCATTTTCTAGTTAAAAATGTGTTTCTCTTGTAAATAAATTGGAGTCAAATTGCTCAGATTGGTTTAAATTCACTCCATCATTCTATGACAGACAATGTGTGTTTGATACTCAAACCTCTTGTGACAAACGGCTCAAAGAAACTCTTTGATCTTAATTAATTGATTAAAACATGATAATATGTAATCATACCATCGTGTTTACAGAAGTATATAATAACTGATATAATGTAGTTGTATATAATATGAGCAACAATTTGGACCCGGTCAAGGTTCTGGAGCCAAGGTTAGGAAACACTGTTTGTATATTAACCGTTTGCCCAACTTAAATCTCTGACAAGTAATTAGTGGATGAAAAAGTATTCAGATCCTTCACTGCAGTAAAAGTACTAATACCATACTGATGAAACAATCCACTACGAGTAAAATACCTGCATTCAAAACATTAGTCAAGTATGTTATCAGAAGGAAAAGTGCAGAAAGTAAAAATACCCCGTCAGTGTTTTACTATTATATCTGATGTTTTAGGATATACAGTGGGTACGGAAAGCATTCAGACCCCTTTAAATTTTTCACTCTGTTTCATTGCAGCCATTTGGTAAAATCAAAAAAGTTCATTTTATTTCTCATTAATGTACACTCAGCACCCCATCTTGACAGAAAAAAACAGAAATGTAGAAATTTTTGCAAATTTATTAAAAAAGAAAAACTGAAATATCACATGGTCATAAGGATTCAGACCCTTTGCTCAGTATTGAGTAGAAGCACCCTTTTGAGCTAGTACAGCCATGAGCCTTCTTGGGAATGATGCAACAAGTTTTTCACACCTGGATTTGGGGATCCTCTGCCATTCTCATCCCAGAGAGGTCTGGTGGTAAAAGAAGCAATTTAAGAAGATATCAGGAAAATACGCCACGTACTTTTAAGTGGTCAAAAATCTGCAAGGTACAACATAAGCTTAAACCAAGTACAACAGGTGGCGAGCTAAGGAAAAAACGCTGCAAATCGGTGGCTAAAAATAATAAGAATAAAACTAAACCACTGCTTCTTGCCAACTAAAGACCACAGCTGTGTAGGTGGTCAGTTACAAAAGCACCAAGGGGATGTAGCTATCCAGCCTGTACCTGCTAGTTTAAACACAGAGGTAAACACCCTTTACCTAGTTTTATCGTACATTCGATTACTACAGGTTGAACACTATTGAATGTAACTAATATGAACGCTAATTAAACTAAAACCGTGCCTAAATCCCAATGTCGCCAAGCGAAGGCTTCAACTAGTTAGTTGAAGCTAACCTTCAAAGAAACGAGTTAACAAAAAGAGGCAGCCGCCCCGGGTTCTTGTTCTGGGTGACTCTTATTGACTTCTTGACCTGGAGCTTGCCTTTGGGTTGGCGGGCTGGGCCGAGACGTGGATCGACAAGTTCATGTTAGAAATGCATCGAATAAAGCAATGAAACACAGGCTAACGACTAAGGCCGTAACCTCCGGTTCTGCCAAGTGAAGCCAGTGCAGAAAAACTAGCTTGCATTCTCTCTACTGACCATCAGGGGGAGACTCATCCGTTTGCAAAAAGAAGTCTGATTGTATGGAAGTCTATGAGAAAATGACTCTACTTCTCTCTTGATTTATTACCTCAGTAAACATTGTAAACATGAGTTTATGGTCTCAATCTCT